AATACATTGCCCCTGGTGCCAAGAAAGGAAATGTTTCAAGAAGAAAGAGCTGTGTCAATTGCTACTGAGAAGATCGGCAAGATGATTGCGGATCAACTACAGGATTGGGAAAGATAGATCTTTGCTGGCCTTTTAAAGGGAAATTTCAGTGGTGTGGTGGAGTAAAAGCCTGATTAAGCCAGGTAAACTGTGAATTGTTGGTGTTAAAGTGGAGAGAAAACATATAATAACCACACAATTAAATAGTAAATCACACTAGAAATGTTCTGAATAACACAGTATTATCTGTCCTAGTGAAGAAGATTGGAAAGGCTTTTTGAAGAAATAATTATAAACAGATTTGATGGATGATCGGTATTAACTAGATAATAAAAAGAATGCAGAAAAGCGTGTAAAAACACTTTATTGCAAGACTGACTTAAGAGCTAGAAGTCCATTTTGGCTGGAGTGGGTATGATACGAGATTAAGCAGGAGTCAGATGGCACAAGGCTGTTTTATCTTTAACCTTAGAGCATTGGAAATAATTGAGGATTTAAGGGAGGTGAGGATATGTGGACAGCATAATTTATGTTTTGATGGGATTACTCTAGCTGCAATGTGCTGGATGAACTGCACGTCGGCCAGATGGAAGGTGGTAGCCAGTCAGCCTTTGTAGTAATAAAGGTGAGTGATTATTTTAGCCCGGATTACTGCAGTAATGGTGTCAACAGTGAGAAAGATAAATTGTAGTGATATTTATGACGTGAAATTGGCAGGGCTTGTGATAGTCTGAAATGAATATATGAGGAAATGATGTAGAAAAGTCAAGAATGACCTTTAGCCTTCTGGTATTTGCAACAGGGAAGCCAGTGCCTTGTACCAATTGAGAGAGAGTTCGAACAGAAGTCTTTGGTTTGCTGTTATTTTTGTGTCTCATGAATTCAGTTTAAACGTGTTGAATTTGAAGGACTTTTGAGCTATCCTCATCTACCTACTAGATTTTTCTGTCTATATATCTTGCTGTCACCTCAAGAATAGTACCAAAACTGAGTTTATCTACATCCTTCCAAACATTTCTTCCCACGTTCGGATCTCAGTCACCTTGAAATGGTCCCTCTTTCTAGTATCCTCCCAGCTTCCGTATTGGCTAATTCAAATTATATCTTTTAAACTTTTCTGTCTCTATTGCCTCTCACATTTGTCCTTTTCTTTCAATTTCTGCCCGTACTAGACAATTACAAACTCCTACATTTCACTCGACTATATTCTTAACTTGCTGTATGGTTTCTTCATTTCTAACCAATTCTTGCTTAATACTTGCATTCTATCCTCCTCCCTATCAATTTTCTTGTACAGGGTTTTGATTTTACCATGTTCTTGCTCAAAATAATTCAGTAGATCCTTCCTTTATTTTTTGTAAGTCAGTCATAGATTCACCTTGGCCTGGCATTCAAGCAAAAAGAAAAACAATCTGTAGATTCCCCTTAGCTTGCTACAATTGTTTAGTATGGTGATTAAGAAAGACTTGGTTTAAATCCTGGCTTTAGCACTTACTAGTTGTCTGATTTTGATTAAATAATTTAATCACAATGTTCAGTTTTTCAAATGGGATTAATAATAGCTACTCATTAAATTGCTGTTTTAAGGCCTAAATCTATGATATTATGGATTATCCAACATAATCCATAAATTATCTTGGCACAGTCCATGGTACAAAGTTAGCATGAATTGATGCAACTCCTATTATTAATCTATTAATAATAGAGTAATTTTAACCGTGCCCCATACATGTATGTAGGCACATTTAACCACTTAATGAAACACACCTTTTATTTGGTCTCTATGTGCCACTTTATACTCCTTGCATTCTCCTTCTTCTCTCACAGCAGTTGACCCTCCTCACAACGGTTTCTTCCTAATTTCTTCCATCTTTCCAGGAGCAGCTCTATTCTCACTCTCTCCAAGAAACATTATTTTCTCTCCCAACCTTTTCTTCATCCACAACTTCAGGTTCTGTTATTCCACCTTTGTATGTATTTTGATGTTAATCTTGTTTGCCTCCTGTATGTCTGTAGCTTTCTTAGATCTTCTACTACATGGTTGTCCTTGAGTATAGGAAATTTATTTGTGTAGTGCCCATAGTTATAACAATATTTGAGAAAAGGTGATTGCAGTGTTAGGAGTCCCTTCAGTTACATGTATATATTCTCTCCTTTCCTTCCTACACAGACTGATTTTGGCTCTACTCATCATTCAAGGAACATCAAGTTACCTCGCTCAGATGTTTCTTAAATATAGGAGCTTTCAAGTCAGCAATCATCTAAACCAATCAAGGCTAATGCATTTTTCTGTGCTCCCAGGAAGTCTAAGAGCATTTCAACTAAGCCCTTCTGTCAGTGATGGGCCTGCTTCTGTGTTCTAAGTCCTTAGTTTTTTGTTGTTTTTCATTTTCTCTGAGTTTTACGTAATTTAAAGAAAGCAGGCTTCAGAGAAATCATGAGGTTAATACTGTTTCACTCAGAGATCTCTAATCATTGGCTTCTTAACAAAAAGTGGCACGAAAGAGAATATTTAGTGTATTTTCTGTTTCCTACCTAATTTCCTCTGGTCTAAGTTCTGACAATGGCCTTTGGAGCATGAGTTGCTGTTTTGTAGGATGTTCTAAAACATGAATCAGGATTGATTCTTATTTTATTCATGGCTATACTTGGCGGTAATTTACAGAGCCTGAGATGAGGGTTTATTTTTCCCCTCTGAAGGTTTCAGGGATGTTTTTGTCAGGATTTGGAAAATGTGCTCAAGGAGCAGAGTGATAAATTGAGTGCTGCCTCAGAAAAAGTCAGGCTGTCAGGGAACATATTTATCTCCACGTTTGGGAAGCAGGCAGGAGAAGTACAGATATTTTAAAAAGCTATGTGAAAACCTTCTAAGGTAAGGGACAAGGTCAATCTGACATGGCTTTCTATCCATTTTATTTATAACTAAAGGCTGCCTGGACATAAAGAATGAACTGAAATTCACAATCATTCAAGGATGGACTTTTTTTCTCCTGTAATACTGAGGAAAAATGGATAGTTAAATGGTTCAGTTTCAATAATGGATATAGTATAAGATAAATAAATAATTATATTAAAAATTCTTTCAGTGTTGCCTGGAACAAGGGTCTGATTGTATTTTTAAATAAAGTTTTATTGGAATATGGCTGAATTTTTTGTTTACATATATTTTAGGACTGTTTTTGCACTGCAATAACAGAGATCACTAGCTGCAACACAGACCTATTGGCCCACAAACTCTAAAATATTTTCTATCTGGTACTTTAAGAAAAAGTTAATTGACGCCAGGTCTAGAAGGACACTTTAAGATTCAAAGATGTTTATTCCTTTTGATTCACTTTGTTTTCTATAATGACATTAATACAGAGTTAGCTCTCATTGTGAAAAGTGGCAGAATGGTGATGGAAGCAGGTATTTATTAATTGGTGGTGTTATTCTACTGATTCACTTGTTTGTTGGGTATAATTGGGTTTAGAACAGGGCTAAAAGTGAAAAGAAAATAAATTTGTATGTACTTCATTCACTACAGCATTTGTTATGATCTTAGTTAGATGTGGCACATAATTAGGTATTATTTGCCGAGCTCCTGAATCCACTTATGTGCGCACAATGCCAATTAAGGCTTTAAGTTCAGGTCTCTCCTTTTCATAAGAGGTTCCGAAAAAGGGACTCTCAAATTTGTTCAAAAGTATGAATAGTCACAGTTGTTAATACAAAACCACATGGCTCTGAGTGTACACTCCAAGGAAAAATCTTGCAGCTATCTCAATCTCTTTATAACTAAGTATCATCTCTATATCTCTGTCTTCATCTCTATGTGTATATATCCCATTTTCATATTTATTTTAAAAAGCTAGAAAATTTGATTTCATTCAATATATTATAGATCTACATATTTTGTGTTATAGTATGCATTTGTTTGTGGTTCACTGACATTCAGTGATACTCATTTAATCAAACATTACCACTGTGCTCCATCCCAAAGGTGAGCAAAATGGCTTGCTTCCTAATTTTATTGAGGCTCCATACTTCAGGGGAAGACAGACTCTTAAAACTTTGCAAACAAATATATAGATATATATTATATACATGTATACATATATGTATATATGTAACATTTATAAGTAAATTACAAATCTAAGTTAGGCAAAGACGAGAAAGGAGGAGGAAAAAATATATCCCAGAAAATATCTTTATACATTCATGATTATAACCAAGTACTCCACTGTAATAATGTTACATTTTTTCTGGAAAGCATGCTTTCACATCATCAAAAATGACACAACTTTTCTATTCTTCTTAAATCTTCAGCCATTACCTTTCACCCTACTCTCAGATAGCCATATTCTGTATTTCATACAGAAATAGAAAATGAATAATATGTCAAAAGATACCTGCGTGCCTGTGTTTATTGCAGCACTATTTAAAATAGCAAAGATTCAACCTAAGTGTCCATCAACCAGATGATAAGATAAAGAAAATGTGGCATATATACACAATGTAGTACTCTTCAACCATAAAAAAGAATGAAATCATGTATTTTGCAGCAACGTAGATGGAACTGAAGGTTATTATCTTGAGCAAAACAAGTCAGACATGGAAAGGAAAATATTGCACACTCTTACTCATAAGTGGTTGCTAAAAACTGTACACATGAATATAAACAGTGGAATGATAGACAATGGAGACTCAGAAGGGAGGAAGGATGGGAAGAGAATGAAGGATGATAAATTATGAATGGGTCAATGCATGTTGTTCTGGTGATTGATACACTAAAAGTTCTGACTTGACCACTACACAATCTATGCATGTAACAAAATTGCACTTGTACGCCAAAAATTTACTTAAATAAGAAAAAGAAAGTAGAAATTAAAACATTAAAACAAAAAAAAAATCAATACTACCTACTAATCTATAAATCTACCTCATCTCTACTCTTTCTACTCTTGCTATTGTAAGCAAAGAAGATATGGTCCTTGTGTGAAATTCAAGACTCTGGTATAAACTCTGACTGTCAAACAATGCCCTTTTGTGGACGACATCCTTCAGGTATGCATTCTCATTCCCTCCCTCTTTCTTTCTCTCTTATCCTCAATTTATCTTTACCCTAACACTCCCAAATACATCCATATTTACTTTCTCATTTTTTTTTAACTCCAAACTTTCCTTCTCTCTATTAATCATCTTGAGACCATGAAAATCTCTTGCCTGGGAATCTTCTGTTGAAGTAGAATTTTTTTAAGTTAAAAATATAACATATAAAAAATACAAAATGAGCTTATTTCAAATATGTTATTTGACTCATTCATTAATAAAGGAACTAGTAAAATAGCAGGAATGATTCAAAAAAATTAAGAAATGTGAGATTTATAGAGTTGAACAGTTAAAGGAATGCAGAAATAAATTTGCCAAAGGTTACTGGAGTGGTTAATGGTGTACAAGGCAATATATACTAACCTTTGGGTTATGGTATAAAAGTCATTTGCACTTCTTTGGATAAAAAAATATTTAAATTTTTCTGAAAGAAGAATCATTAGCATTTTACTCAATCTTCTACAGGTTAACAAAGTATGGCTCTTAAAGAGTTCAACATATTCAGGTCAATAGGAAATATGAAGTTGAAGAAAGGCACACAACCCTACAAAATCAGAAATCTCCACCACAGTGTTCCTGGTGTAAAACAACCAGCATTCTACAAACATAATATCTAGCAATCTTTTTTTTTTTTTCTATTTCCTAATGCTAATAAATGTTTATGACTTCATTGTTCTGCATGCACTCTTAATTCCCAATTTACTTTTGAGAAAATGGCAAGAATGTTCTTTGGTAATTTTGTTACATAGAAATTTAAAATATCTTAGAAAATTTATCTTAATAAAAATCAAAAGCAAGTGACTTGTTGAGAGAAAATACTTGTCATAATAGGCATTTCCCTAGTGTTCAAGGATGTACTAAAATGCTTCAAAAAAGGTGACAGAACTATGGAAATAATTCAACAGAATAAGAGCAATCAATTTATAGTGGTGACTGTAATGGCCAAATATGTGAAAAGATGCTCAACTTCAATAATAGTCATAGAACTGAAATAATTTTCACAATACCAACAATAACATTGTAAGCCAAAGTTCTCTCATCAGACTGGCAAAATTTTAAAACATTTGGTAACATCTAGTCTGGCAATGGTACAAGGAAGTGGTTTCTTATAAATTGTCATAACTGAAAATTACTGTAAAATATTAGAAATATATTTTATCATAACTTATTAAAATTCAAATTTCCTGTAATCTTTGGCCTAACAGCCTCATTGTTATTTATTTATTCAATAAAATAGACACTTGAATAGAAAGACATATGACAAGGAATTTTTATTGCAGCATTGTTTACTATAACGTAAAACTGGAAACGAGCAATTAAACATAAATAGGAATATGTTTGAATTAGTAGCAACACATTATTCACTATATATTATGTAGTTATGTAAGCAAATATAAATCTATACACTAAATTTTAATGGTGATTAAATTAAAGTTACAAGCTTGGTATGAGACTCCTAGAGACATTAGTTTTGATACTTAAGCATTTTGTTAAAAAGAGCATTAATTTAATAATTATAGGAATGAATAATTATAAATTATTATATGTTATTATGTCTCAGCTTCCCTGCTCAGAGTCTTTTGAGGGGCTTCTTATGGCATGAGGATGCAATCCAAACCTCTTCCATTTGTAAGATCCTTGCAATTCAACTATGCTATTATTCCAACTTGACCTTGAGTAACTCTAGCAATCGGTTGCTTCATCTAGAAACAATATACAACTTTTATTTGCTTTATTTTATTTATTTATTTATTTATTTATTTGAGATGGAGTCTCACTCTGTTGCCAAGGTTGGAGTGCAATGGCATGGTCTTGGCTCACAGCAACCTCCACCTCCCAGGTTCAAGCAATTCTGCCTCAGCCTCCCAAGTAGCTGGGATTACAGGTGTGTGCCACCACACCTGGCTAATTTTTCTATTTTTAGTAGAGACAGTGTCAGCCACATGTGGCCAGGCCGTCTGAAACCCTGACCTTCGGAACCGCCCACATTGGCCCAAAAAGCGCGACCCAACCTTTGGTTCCAATGAAAGAACGGCAACCCTTCTCCAGAACCCTGCCCTTCCGACTCACTCCTCTGGCGGGCTGATACACTTTCCATATTCGTCACTCTGCTTAAAATTCACCTTTCCTGAAATTACCCACTATTGAGCTGCCTTCCAACGAAATATTCCCCCAGTATACAATTCCTCAAATAGATCTTAAGGACACAATTTTTAAAATAGAAACAAATTGGACATCTTGGAGGCGAGAAAGCAAGAAAAGGAGCGATTCGAAGTAGCTGGGCATGAGAACTACAGAAATTAAGATAACCTTTTAAAACTAGAGCCATTATGACAGAAAACAAGAATCAGACCACCACAATCTGCATTATTTGTCCATCTGCACGCAGTTTCTGGATAACTTTCACTTTAAGCAGGATAACCTGGTCAACACAAAAGCCTAAGAGGAAAGATTTCTTCAGCATGCGCGAGCGTAGTACCAGGAGAAAAGAATGGGCTGTTGCATTAATCTGCCCAACTAAAAGGAATGGCAGGCTATGAAATGTTTCATTTGCGGCGCGTCAAAGAAAAGGTTACACGATTGGTTAAACAACCAGAAAGATAGCAACATTAGGAGAACGGGGCCCATAGGCTTAGGTCATTCAAATAAAAAAGTTCTGTCAACTCCAGGCATAACGGCCTAAACAATAAAATACAATAGAAAGCAAGTTTTACTTTTACAGATAGCCTGGCAGATAACATATGACAAAGCCCAAATAACTCAAAAGAAAACAAAAAAAAAAGAAAAAAAACAAAAAGGCCAAGTGTTACATTAAAAAGACGCAAACTCAACATCTGAAGGATGAGAACAGCAGTACAAAGAACACGACCCTCGACCGCCCCATCATGTACTGAATGGCAAAGGCTGAAGTTGAACCCATATTAAATATCTTTAGAATTTACGCCGGCCTCCCTAAACCAAACACAATCAGTGGAGTCCTAACAGAAGTACGACCCTCCAGATCACGGATATTTGAAATACATTAAAAAAGATCTTTTACTGCATCCTATCGAGAAAGCACTAGCTAAATCGAAACATGTTGGCTATACCATCAGTTCTTTGCCAAACCAGAATATAAGGTCAAGGACTGGCATGACATTTGGTCATAACCAAGACCATGGAGATTTTAATTTAGAAACATAAAAAAGTGTGGAGGCACCAGAACATAACAGTTAACGACAAAAAACATTTGGAGGATGTAATTAGATACGATTTGATGACTTTGATACGAAGAGAAGCCGCATACCAAATTTACAACGCACTAGCCCATGGCAAGAAACATACCAAGACTTGGCAGTGGATCAATAGAAGGAAAGCAAAATAGTTTGTGAGATGTTTTAAATAAATCATATGAGTCCGATAAAAAAAATATTTAAGTATTGATTTTTTTTTTTTTTTTTTTTTTGTGACGCGGATCTCAGCTCTGTCGCCTAGACTGGAGTGCAGTGGCGCGATCTCATCATTGCAAGCTCTGCCTCCCTGGTTCACGCGCCATTCTCCTGCCTCAACCTCCAGAGTAGCTGGGACTACAGGCGCCCACCACCACGCCCAGCTAATTTTGTGTGTGTGTGTATTTTTAATAGAGACGGGGTTTCACCAAGTTAGCCAGAATGGTTTTGATCTCCTGACCATATGATCTGCCCGCCTTGGCCTCCCAAAGTGCTGGGATTACAGACGTCAGCCGCCACTCTTTGATATTTTTAATACCCAAATAAAATTATAGTTTATAAGTGACTCTTCACCTACTTTGGAATTATGGAGTGAAATCTATAGTCACATAAGTGCTCTCACTGCTGACAATCTTTTAAAGCTATGATGCAGAAACATTAGAGCAATTGCAAAAGAGAAATATAAAGCAGTCAGTAAAAATTTTACTCTACATTTCCGTTTAAGAATGCAGATAAAAGCAAAAGGTGAATGTAAAAACTATTGTTAACTTGTGAATTATTATTGCCATGAATATTTTCTTGTCAACTTGTTTTAAAGATTTATATGTGCAAGGGTAATACACAAATAATTTTTGTTGAACAGGCTCTATTTGTGTATGTACATATTTCACTGATAAGATACTGTTGGCTTTTTATTTTTTTCTGTTTTGAGGCAATCCCAAAGTCACCATAAGTTCGATGAGTTAAAAGTGTCTATATTTGTCCTTCTATAAGAATTATTGTCACAAATAGAGATTCTTTATTTGAACAAATACATAAAAATTGGCACTAAAGATATAAACATTTATAACATGATAATCAGCCCCTCAAAGCTGGGAGTTTGGTTTAATTTTTCTATATATGATTTTTCCTGATAGCAAGTCAGTATATTTTCATAATCTTCAAGGAACTATTGTTTGTGGAACTTAGCATTGTGAAGAATTATTTATTTCTTGGTAAAAGGTTAAAATTTGAAGTCAACTTGGTAAATAAACATTCCTTAAGCATTTATCACAAGCTCAGTTTTCTGCAGAACATTTGAAAACAAAGGTTATAAGTTATAAACCATTTACTTATGCAAACTTCACAGGGTGATGGAAATGCAATGCCAGAGGGGTCACTCAAAATAAAATTTTTTGTTTACTTTTCTTTTCTTTTCTTTTTTGAGACAGAGTTTCGTTCTTGTTGACCAGGCTGGAGTGCAATGGTGCTATCTCAGCTCACCGCAACCTCCTCCTGGGTTCAAGCGATTCTTCTGCCTCAGCCTCCCAAGTAGCTGGGATTACAGGCATGTGCCACCACACCTGGCTAATTTTTTATTTTCAGTACGGACGGGGTTTCTCCGTGTTGGTCAGGCTGGTCTTGAACTCCTGACCTCAGGTGATCCACCAGCCTCAGCCTCCCAAAGTGCTGGGATTACAGGCGTGAGCCACCGCACCTGGCCATAAAATTTTTCGAAAGGATATTTAAGTAACAATGAGACCAAAA